CAAGTGAGATGTCTTCAAAGGGGGCTGATCCAAACGTAGCCTTCAACTTTACCTGCTAAGGTCTATCATGGGAATTTACTTTCTTAAGGCCAGGAAAGGAGCAGAATCAAAACAGCTACAGGACACACTCCTGTGTGAATGATATTAAATGTCAGAGCTGTTTGTGTTCAAGTGCTCTTATTTTTTCTTGAACCACATGATGGTTCGAGTTCGCACTCTTGCTTGGCAAGCAATCGCATCATGAATTGTCTTAATTTGACATGTATTTTGTCTGTCTTTGTGGTTACTTGAGGGTTTCTCTTGATATCATCTGTCCCTTTATTGTGCCTCTTCAAGATTTGTGGAAGGTTTATTGGGCAGAAGATTGGATCAGATCAGGTCCTGTGATCCCACCCCAGCCTAGCTTCTTCTACCAGCGCTAACTGGGGATAAGACCATGGTATTTGTCTTCTGGGTGGCTATTCTGCAAAGACGTATGCTTGAAAATCCATTTTTGGATTTTCCATCCAAATTTGGAATTTTCCAAAATTCCATTTTGGAAGCTTTTGTCTTCTCTCTGCCTTGAAGATTGTGAGTTTCTTGAGGCAGGAGTTATATCTTCCTCTGTATGATGCTTCCCTATACACAACTACTGTGCATTACTGTACAGACCAGGTGACTTTGCTTCTAGAGTATCTTGGAAAGGCATAGTCCAGTACAAATTTAAAAGTCTCAGGTATCTTCTAGTGCAAAGCCCAGCAAAAATATTCAGATATTGTAAAGTAGGACAAATATATTACTCTAGAGCAAGGAGTAGCTTTTCTGCCGTCCCCTCAGAATTACAGGCTCATGAAGCAGAACAGCCCTCCCTTCTTTCCCCTGCCCTTCTCCAGAGTCACCGATGAGGCCGGTACCTGCTCACTCCTTCTCCTTCACTGTGAGAATAACATCCTCCTTACACAAAGGGTCTGTATCAGTACAATGCGTCACCGCTGGGTTCATTTCATTGATCTTAATAAAGGTATTTTTGATAGACCAGCCAATGTTCGGTTGAGTTGGGAGATGGATCCTTTGTCTGCTCTCTGGGGAGAGGCCAGGTGTGTGTGTGCAGTGTGGCACAGTGTCCTCAATCTGGTGAGATACGTCTTTCTGCAATGCGTTGTGCCAACCTTCTTATTTTAAGTCCTAGCTACGTTCCCTCTTGCTGGAATAAGCATTTCTGCATCAGCTCTGTGCTCTAGGAGGGGAAAAATGATATGATTGCAAATATTTCCACTGGTCGGATGATGCTGCTATTTTCTTTTTACCCTGAAGAGAGAAAAGCTGTTCTTCTTGTCTGTAGGAATGACTTCCCCACAGTCAGAGATGGAGACTTCTGTCCAGGCCTCGCTTCAGCGTGCTGATAAGGAGATCAAGACAGCTCTAAAGAAACTCGTGGACTCGGCGTCAATGCTGGTGACTCTTCCCCCGGGCATACAAGGAGGAGCCGGTGGCCTTGGCCTTCCTGGGTCTGTTCCTTCAGACCATTCAGAAACAGCAGCTGGGTCCTCTGTGCTAGTTCATGAAGCCAGTACCCAAACCCGTGCTGGAGGTCATGGTAGGTTTGGCATGAATCTGGAAAATGTCCTATGGGAGTCAAGAGAGACAAAAATATTGAACATGCCAATAATGATATTTTTTCACTCATTTTTCTATTTTGTTGTGTTTTGAGCAGTTGCAGATTAAGAGGTGACATTCAGACCCAAAGAAACATGGGACTGTGGGTTGGGGTTAGGTTGGACACAAGTTTGGAGCAGATCCTTCTGGAAACAGAAGGTGTTTGAAAACTGTGTCTGAAGTAGAGTTTGGTTCATCACCTGCCCAAAACAGAGGGATTGGGAATTTTTTCACCTTTGGTCTTTTGACCTTGGACTTGCTTCAAGGTTTTTGTGGGACAAGGTAGGATGGGATCCCTCCTTTACCTTTATAGAAGTCTTTTTTTTATTATTATTTGGTAGGGTGGGTAAGGGAGGTTGTTTATTGTTTGCCATAAACAAGCTGGAAATGTCTTTAACACCCCTGTATCAACTGCTGGAGACTTTCTAGGATGTTGGGTGCATCAGGTTCACCTGTGTTTCACTGGACCTGGAGCCTTCATAGACTCCTTAACAGTTTCCACGTGATTGAAACCAATGATGTGTGTGACTGTGTCTTGCCAGGAGAACAAGTCTTTCATCTTTGCATTGTTTTTTTTTTAAAAAAAAACCCATGAATAAGTGGCAACACTTCTGCTCTTCCTTCTGGCTCCACCATAGCAACTTCTCTAAGCTGTCTCTGTGTCAAGTCAGAGTAACTGTCCTCCACCAGTGTCAACTTAAAAGTACAACGTCAAGTAGCCTTCAGCCCTCAAACTGCAGATGCTGTTTAAAAAAAAATATATTCTTGTCTAAAACTTAACAAGGATAGAAGTGTTTTATGGAATCAGACCCAAAATAACTGCATAAAAAACTGACAGGGCTTTAAAACCTTTTTTCCTTTCTAGTAGGCAATCATCTGTGAAAATAATCCTCTGGTGAAGCGGGATGACTCAAAAATCATAAGTAAAATATCAACTAGCAGATTATTTCCTTAGTCATAACTACAGAGATAATAGACTAGTGAATGAGACGGTTTTGCTGTCCTTTCATCTGAGAAAACTAAACATGTTATTAATATGTGAAATTATTTTAATAAGGTAGAAACTTGACGGCTGTCCCTATGATCACATGCTTTGAATAAAAAGAAGGCAAATATTTTGATAGTGCTGGCAGTAGGAAAGCACAATCCCACCAACCTGGGATCTCTGACCCTGTCAGTAATGCCTTGAATAGCCATGTTTTCCATCCCAATAGAGCTGTTTTATGTGACTTCTAGAAACTGCTGCTTTCTTCCAAAACCAGCCAGCACCAAACATCCCTGCAGTGCTCCCCAGAAAGGCCCTTCCTTCTGGGGAGAAGACTCTTCTTGATTTAACCTTTTGTCCTCAGATGAAAAAAGAGATGATGCACTTTATCCTATGGGGTAACTCCAATGGTCAGTATCAAAAGTCAATCAAGCATTTTTGGAATGGAAGATCAAACCAGTTTTTGAAGATATATCTGATAAAATAAGTAATAATAAAAGAAGAACAATACCTGAACTGCCATCAAGCTGCACTGTCTTTTTGTTTGCACCATCTTTTTGTTTCCTTCTTCCTATAAACCCCAGATGCCAAACCTTGTTCTGGTGTAACTTAGAGTTGTATGAGGACATTTTCAAAGAACCCAGTGGAGACGCACCAATGCTGGCGTTATAACATCAGCAGGTCCTCCATATTAGCATACCTCCATATTATCTCCATATTAGTTGTACCCCCAGCCAGGGCCCACCTTGACCACCAGTTTTACATTGATGTAAGCTTACTCATTTCACTGATGCTGTCTGTGATTGCAGCGGTGAGTCAAGAACTGTTCTCATAGCGCAAAGTTTAATTGAAGCATTCATGTGTACAAAGCTAACACTGGCCATCCCTGGAAGTATTTAAAAGACATGTAGTCGTGGCGCTTAGGGACATGGTTTAGTGGTGGACTTCGTAGCGTTAGGTTAACAGTTGGATTCAATGATCTTAAGTGTTTTTTCCAACCTAAATAATTCTATGATTCTACAATCCTATGATTTCATCACAGCCATGAGCTGGAACTCCACACAGTTAAATTACCTCCTATAAAGGATATATTGAACCCATGCCATCCTTCCAGTCATCCTATTTCTTCTTGTCCCTACTGACTGGCTTTCCTATTTTTGTCTGCGTGTGTTTCCTAACAGAAAAGTTAGTTTTGCCTGGTCAGCAATGTGCCACCTTTCAGTCTCTGTGATGTTATTCAAGCCCTTTGCTTCATGTGGTCTTCTCAAAAGGGCCAAATTCTCTTCTTAGCTTCTGTGACTGCACTCAGCTGAGGTCAGACAGACTCAGTTCTGACACAAGGCAGGCTAGAGATGGTCCAAAGGTTTGCTCGGGGTTTCAGGTGTGCCATCACAGGTGACGTGTCTAACTTGCCCTATTTCTGCTGCCAGACAAAGCACAAGGGCAGATGCCAGCTGAAGAACCAAGTGTGCCAAAGCCCAGCTCCGGCCCTTCCCATGAAGAGGCAGCTGCTGGAGATGAAAGCACTCAGGAGCGCACTGTTCCTATTACCAGGTAAATACCCATCTCAATATACAGATTTCTGAGTGTGGCAGACTTTGTTGCAAGAAAAGCAAGTCCTCTGTGGTGGAGGAAGCAGGTGGTAACTTGAACTGATTCTTGTAGGTTTGTTATTATTTTTAGAATCCTGTTCACACACGCATTGTGCAAGAAGGATAGAAAAGGTTGGAGAGAAATTAATTACCCCAAAACAAAATTCTTCTTGTATTAATTTTAAGTAAATAATTATTTGTCTGGTGGTTAAACACACAGATCAATGGCAGGGTGTTATCCTGTATCTCTGTATTTGTGCTCAACTATCTAATGATCTTTTGTCTTGGGCTTCATGAAAGAACTTCACCAACCGAGGGGGCAGGAGACTGGTACAGAAGAGAAGGAGATGTGGTCTGGGATGTCCACAGTGAAGTTTATATTGAGACCACAGAAAGAACTCGTGTGTATAAGACTGAGGAGAAGACCCCAACAAGTAAGAAAGAACCTTGTTTCCCTTTCCCACATCCCATGATTGTCATTGTCTTCTCTTTTGGTAATAACTCCTGATGACTGTGTTTTTGAATACTTCAATTTCTTGAGCAGTAGCTGTTTATTAAACAAAAAGTAACAGATAAGCATGAAGATAAGAAGCCTAAAAGTCATGCTAGTTTAAAGAAACCCAAGTATATTGCTGTGATATTTCTTGATTTGACATTAAGCTAATGTTATATCCTGAATGGCCATCCCTATAAATCCCATTTGAGTAACTCAACCCACATCAGCACAAAATGAATAAAGTGATGGTATTGTGCATGCAGCAAACCCTTGTGTCTCACCAGGTCCTCCCTATATGCAAGTGACAATAGAGGATGTGCAGGTGAATTCTGGGGAGCATGCCAAATTTCAGGCAGTCATTGAAGGAACCCCTCAGCCTACCGTTTTGTGGTTTAAGGTAAGCGCAGATTTTTCTCTGGCTGAGAGTGAGGACCACAGAAAGGACTGTAGTGCAGTACTTCTGTGGCGGAATTTCTTCTGCTCTTCCATCCCACACCTCTTACACTGATTCTGGGTCACATCTATAGATTTTGTTGAACCAGCTGCAGCTCTCACTGGAACCACCAACCATGCATCTCACCCTGTGTTGTCTCCAGTGTCATTGTGGCTCCTTTCACAGAGAGGGCAAGCAAGGTGGTTTTGGGGACCAAGACGGGCAGGAAGGGAGATTGGCTGCCTGAGAGCCACCAAGATGTGTGCTGTAGTTTTGGGGTCAGGGATGGGATTAAGAGTGGTTTACTCCAATTGTCAATGTGACTTCCAGGCTCTGTACCTTTTCTGCAGCTAATTGGTAAAATAAGTGTGACTGAAAAGAATGAATATCCCATAGAAAGGAAGGAAAAATAATTTATTATTCATCAGAATATTGTCATGCCCTTAAAATAAGCCGGTGTTGTTCTATAACGATTGTCTGTAACTCTTCCGTCTAAGTGTTTTGTAGACACAAGTTTTATTCAGGTTTTTTTTTCTGTATGGGAAGTACAAGGATGAGCTACTCAGACAAATAAAATAACCTTAAAAAACCAAGCAAAAATGCAAAGAACCCCCTCTCATGCACACACACACATGCACACACCTGAACACCTTGAAAAGAATAAGACAAGAATATGAGATACACCCTGTTAATATTCTTGCAGTCTCTGACATTTTCTAACATCTGGTACAGCTCTATCATGTCATATTGCTAGAGCCTTCCTTCCAGACTGAAGAGCCCCAAATTGCTCTGTCAATCCTCATCTGGAAGCTGTTACAGAAAGAACATTGCTGCAACAGTACCACACCCTGGGCAAACCCAGGATTTATAAGATGATGCTTTCTGTCTTATTCTTCATTTCTTCCCTAATGTTTTCTAACATCTGGTACTTTTTGACTGCCACCAAGCACTGAGCTGGTGCTGCTGTGGAGTGATCTACACGTTGAGTGTAACTCAAAGTTTTGCTCCAGTGTAATAAGGAAGAGCTCAGAGACTGACATTTCATGTGGGGGAATAGGGTTGCACCACTTTACATTTACTGTGTTATATACATTTACCTGGCATTTTACTGCCCAGACAGGCGGTCTCATAAGGTCCTTTTGCCAATCTTCATAATCTGCTCTCTGTGTCACACACACTCCCTCCTGTCTCTTTTTTTTATAGCATTTATGAATATATTAAGCAGCACAAGTGCCAGCACAAGTTGGAGACCAGGCAGGAGCAAAGTAGCTGATCCTTTTGCTCCCTGGGCTGCCTGCTCAGGCATGGCGTGCTGGGATTGCTGAAGAATAAATCACAAAACCCTGGTGATCCCTCCCAAGCCTGTATTCCTATGAATGGGTTATGAAACAAAAATGTTATTGGGTAATGTGGAAGCAGAGAAACTGTTAGACATGGGGGACTTCTTCAGCCAGCATATTGTTAGTGAGATTTGCTAGCCTAAACGGTCTGTGTTGCAGCTCTGTTCCTGTATCTCGTTTCTTGAAGAGAAGAAACATCTGTTTCCATCTTGGTTTTCCCAGTGCCAAAATGTCATTTCATTCTTTCAGGGCACTTCATTGCTCACAGACAGCAACAGGGTCCATCAAGGGAAGGACGGAACAACATATTTCTTAGTTGTGGACAATGCTGTCTCAGAAGATGGTGGTGTTTATACCTGTGTTGCCAAAAATGCAGGAGGGGAGGTTTTATGCAAAGCAGAGCTTATCGTACATGAAGGTAATGTCATTCTTTCAGCTGCAGGAGTTGCTTCCGTAGCAATTGCAATATATGTACTCTGTTGCAGTCATCTTCTGGTACCCATATGGTATCTGCTCTGTATTTCTGCGTAGCATTTGTATATTACCAGTATGGCAGGTTCCAGAGCAAATGGTCTAATGACCTACATATATATATATACAAATAAGATTTTTTTTCCCCTGCTTCAGACTACATGATGAACTGATAAAATGGGCCACAGAAATAAGTGGGGCCATGTCTCTGGTGGCGTTCTGCTCTTTAGCCTGGCTCTTCTGATTTATGTCAGGTGAAGATGCAGCCCAAAGTTCATATCGACAGCTTCTGTCATTGAACAGCTCCACTTAATTCTGTGCAGAAGTTTAGAGGACACCTGTAATTTTTCCTGCCTTAAATTGTCCTCTAATAACTCTGCACACTATTAGCAAGGCATTGGTGTCTGAATATTAACACTTATATTTTCCTTCATTTCCAAAGCTAAGAAAGACCAAGCAGCAAAGAAAGTGGCCACCAGGAGAAAGCTCCATTCCCTTTATGAGGTTAAGCAAGAGATTGGAAGGTAAATTAATTTTCCAACTTTATAGCATCACTGCCGGAGAATATCTAATTGCCCATCTAAGCTGCTGAGTATGTGTAACCAGAGTTGGAGGTGGTCCCAGCTGTGGAAAAGTCTGAAAAGGTGAAAGTACTGGCAGAAGTGGGTGGTCACCCCATTTCAGGTCTGCTGGAAACACTTTCCTGAGGTTTCCAACAGAGGATGGGAGAGTCCATACAGCCCATAGGTTCAGGTAGCTCCAACCAGAAAAAACACCAGCCAGAGGCTGACAGGATAGGTGCCCAGATATAGCTTCTTGGCAATATTAGCATCACAAGCCCATATGGACGTATGCACAAGCACTGTGTCCACCCAAGGGATCCAAGAGCATCAGCCTTTGTCAGCACAAGGCTGTACCACCTGAAGCAGCTCTGCCCTTGATGTGAACTCGTTGCTTAATTTTGGAGACAGCCAGGAGAGGGCAATAGCACCTCACATACAGGAAAATAAGCTTTTTGTGTTGGAGAATTTAAGCCCTGAGCAGTAGGGAGCTGTCAAAGGCTGGGATGTGGAAAGGTCTACACCTGCTGCGCAAAGGGCTTTGAACCAAGTCTGAGTAGGGCTCGTCCTTTGATTTTTACACAGGGGCTGCTTCAGCTTTGTGAAACGTGTTGTACACAAAGGGAACAGAGTGTCTTGTGCTGCCAAATTCATACCTCTACGAAGCAAAACAAAGGCTCGAGCGCATCAAGAGAGGGATATCCTTGCCTCTCTGTCCCACGACAGAATTACCAGGCTCCTGGATCAGTTTGAAACGCGGAAAACACTGATTTTGATTCTGGAATTGTATCCTTTTCTGTGCTGCTTGTCTGAGGAGGCTGGGAAGTAATAGTAGTAGAGGTCATTTTTTAAATAACTAAGCAATCAACCGTTTTTAGGTTTTGCCTGAGATAAAAAGAGACGCACAATCTTTCTCTGCACTGCAGGATAGCATAGCTCTGTGAGATCTACACTGAAGTACTATGTGTCTGCTGGTTTAGCAAAAATCATGATACTTGTATATACAACTGTGAATGAGTTGTTAGGCACCAAAATTCTTTTCTGAAATGTCTGGAAGTGAAGAACTCCATTTCCATGCAGTCCAGTCTGGGTGAGCACCAGGAAAATGCAATGCAGAGCAGAAAAGCCCATAGCCAACAGGTAGATTTTAACACAAGTGATATCATGCTCCTGCTTGTAGGGAGCACAGGTTTAGAGCAGCCCAATTCTGCAAGAAGGACACTGCTGCAGTAGAGGTTTTAATGAATTACATGCACATCATGTTGCCTGAGATCACCTTGCAAATTCTGCTGTTAGCTGGATAGAAGTGGTTACAAAGTAAAAACAAGCATTTACCTGTAGTTCTGTCTTCCCTTAATGCCGTTGTCAGATGCTCCAGTGAAGAGCTCCTTGACCGTTTATTCAAGAAGAGTGTTGTCACCGAAGCAGAGGTAATCTTTCTTTCTCATTTGAAAAATCCAGAGTTGGTGGGTACTACCAGAGTATCTTCCAGCTGCATTTTCCTTTTTGAATATGAAGAGTGTCTTCGAACCAGTGATAATCTGTCAAAACAGAATCAGCCTTTAAAATGTGTTCCCATCAGATTTCATTACTAAGTTGTATTCAGGAAATAACTAGAAACAGCCAGTGGTTTTGACCACCAGCATTGCATTCAGCCTAATACAGATGATATTTGCTCTATCATCATTTTTTTGCTGTCACCTGGAGCTCCTGTATCTTCACTTGCTTAATAACGTTTTATCCCCTCGCAACTGTACTTCTATCCACTCCCTTTCAGTCCCCAAACCAAGGGCTGAAGTTACAGTTTCTAAGGGTTTTTTTGAGATCCTTGGTGCTCAAAGTTCCGAATGTTTCACATCTCCCATCTAGTAGTCAGGTGTCCCATACTTATTGGTAAAATTGTTTTTTCTTAGAAATACTCAGAGGGAAATATTGTAGAATCACAGAATGGTTTGTCTTGGAAGGGACCTTTAAAGATCAAATGTCAGCTAACTCTATAAAATGTCAAAGGTAGAGGACTTCCAAAGCTGAAGCTAGTTGTAAATCTTCACTCCTTGTTCACTCATAGTCAGATTGGATCTATATACGGTCAAGAAAATAGGTTTACAGCATAGTTTTAAAATGCATTTGTGTTTGCCTGATTTACACCAAGCCAGACCTGAGTTTGAGTTAGATAAATTAGACAGTTGATAAGGTTCATCAAACTTGAGGATTTCTGTATCTCTTTTTTGCATGTTTGCAGGGTTGGGTTTTTTTAAAGTAAGGGCTTTTTCACATACAGAAGGCTCCATCAGGGCAATGTGGTCATACATGAGGCACAGCTTCATTCCACAGGGTAATGTTTGGTTCACACCTTATTTCAACTGCAAGACTAATATAAGAAGTTCATTCTAGTTTTAAAAGTATTTCTAGTTCAATCTCTCCCTCTCTCACATATTAAAAATATTGGTGGAACCAGGGACCCTCTTATTTACTATTAATGTTTAATAATTGATTTAATTTTTAGGTCAAATTGTATATCAAGCAAATTTTGGAAGGAATCAAATATCTTCATGACAACAACATCCTTCATTTGGACATTAAGGTAATGTGCAATGGCAGATCTAGCTTATCATAGCCTCTTGTTGGTCAGGGAATGGGCATTCTCTATTCGAATTATTCTTACTTACAACTGAAAATACTGCCTGCTTTCAAGAAAAGTTTTTCCCTTTTATTTTATTTCATTTACTAGCCGCTGAATATCCTCATGGTTTATCCTGAAAGGGAAGACCTTAAGCTCTGTGACTTCGGATTTGCTCAGAAGATCACACCCTTTGAGCCTCAGTTCAGCAAATACGGGTCTCCAGAGTTTGTTGCCCCAGAAATTGTTTCTCAGTCACCAGTGTCAAAAGCGACCGATATCTGGTAACCTGTCATCTTTCTAAAAAGCTTTTGCCCTAGACAGCCTGAATTTCCAATTATTGTTAATAAGTAAATGGAGTAGTGATAATAACACAGGAAACTGAAAGTGAACACTGAGAATCCAAAACCCATCAGGGCTCTTTAAAGCTCCTTCTGTCTATTTTGTTCAACCATAATTGAACTCTGACAGCTAATAAATGCAAAGGAGCATCTCAGAGAAGATGACCTTTATTAGAGGCAGCAACTAGGGAGGATGATCCTAAGGGGCTTTCAAGGTAAGGCAAACAAACTCCAAAATAGTATTTTGAGTCTTCTCCTCTATCTGTGCTTTAAAAATGGAGTATTAGTTGAGAACAATTTTAAAAAACATTGAAGGGAAAAAAATTGAAGCGTGAAAACAATGGCTTTTGGGCTTTATTTTCCTTGGAAAGGTGAGGAGAAGAAGGTGATCTTACTGTGTCAGGGTGTCTAGTGGCAGGAAGAGGGGCTGTGTGCTTGAGAAGGATGCAGAAATAGTGACGAACACCTGACATTTGTGTTCCCTCTCTCCTCAGGGCTGTTGGAGTCATCACGTATTTAAGGTAAATTAACCTTCTTGGAAAGACTCATTCAGTATTCCTTTGTCAGTCAGAGCCATCCAGTACCTTCAAGTGAGGGATCTGAGTGAAGCGTTGAGTCCTTCTATAATTAGGGGAATTCCTTTTGTGTTTTTCTCCTTTACTCACTCCTTCCTGGTTGGCCAGGGCTTTGGTCATCTTCCCTGCTTGAAGACCTGACAGCTGCTCTCCTTCAGTTAGCGATGAGAGCGGTGGATGAGGTTCAGTCTTCCCCTTGCTGTTCTAGCCAACACCCTACTGTAGCTGTGCAAAATCAAACCCTTAATTACTTATCTGGGACACAGGGATAAATAATTCAGTTAAGTGCCATGTAATGCATGGGGTGAAAGGTGCTCTATTAGTGGACGCACTGCTCACGAGCATTGCAAGTCCCACACATGGAGTCCCTCAAGCATTTTAAAGCCCCATGTAAGCATTTGTGCTTCTGTCATTTGAACAGCAAATAAAAGTCTAAAGTCTGTCTCCTTTTATTTTATGGTGTTCAATAAATAAGCCTAACATGCAAGTCTCCATTTGCTGGGGAGAACGACAGAGGAACCCTTCTAAATATCCAGAAAGGGGAAATTTCATGGACCATTCCTGATTTTGTTCACTTGAGTGAAGATGCAAAGGACTTTATGAAAGGGATCCTACAGCAGCACCCCACGTGAGTGCAATTCTGTGCTTCCTACAGCCAGTGTGCAAAGATGTTGGTGTCTCAGCGGGCAGATTTGCTCATCAGAGCTGCAGTTGTCTTGAAAAGTAGAAAGCTGAGTGAGATGTGGTGCATTATGCCCCAAATCTTCTTTATTATTCCCCATTACCCAAACCACAACTTGGCAATTTGCCAAATTGGCCTGTTTCTGGTATGGTGATGTCCTTACTCCCTGACTCCTCTAGGCAGATGAGTTTCTGAAATGACATAAAGAAGGAGGAAAACCAAGGACTGGTATAGAGGGAGTTATGCGAGATTTAAATAATATTAACCACACTCATTAAGCAATTTCAAGTGCAAAAGGTGGCTTGAAGGCACGTTTGAAGGCATTCGCTTTTTAATTTCATTTCTGTTCTTTCTGCCTGCTGCCAAAGTGACTCTTAGGGCTGCTCTCGACACCCTTGAACAGGCTTCCTGCAGAGTGCCATGGGGTCTTCCTGAGCATCTGCAGGGAGTCTCAGACTGAAAAAGGAGGATTGTTTCACCAAGAAAACCTTGTGTTGAAAGCCTCTGTCTGTCTGTTTGGCTTCTCAGCTCTAAACCAGCAGCCTAAGGGACATACACAAAAGTGTATGCATGCGTCAATGTGAAGCAGGCACCTTCAGGAAGATCTTGTGGTTGCTATTGGAAGTGACTTGCTACTAAAACAGTGATCTTATTTTCTCTTATCAGAGCCAGGCCTAGTGCTTTGGACTGTCTTTCCCACAAGTGGTTCATGGTAAGTTTGTCCTCGTTCTTTAGTAGAATCATTAAAAATACTGATGTTGGAAGAGACCTTTGGAGGGGTAGCTTTTAAAGCTGTTTGATATTATTTGCTGGTTTATTTTTTCTCTTGGTCTCCTACTTTCTGTCCTACAGAGCAGCTCAGGCATGGCTCTCCAGAAAGAGGAGACACACTGGTGTTTACATGCCAAGATATCTTTCTTTTCAAAAGATAAAGATTCCTACTGACATGAGCACATATAACATGTCTATACAGAAAGGAAACTGTGGCTTTGCAGAGCAAAGTTAAGGTTTCTATTCCAATGCCTTAAATTGTGAAGGAGAAGAGCTACAAATTAACAAAAAAAAGCAAACAAACAAAAAAAAAACAACAACAAAAAAAGGGAATTTAATTAAATGCATTGATCGGGGCTTGCTTTTATCATTGAAAAGCTGAGATTGTCTACAACTTAGCCATGAGGGGATTGTAGCATTTGGTCTATTGTAACTTTCCTAAATTAAACAATTCTGGAAGGAGGGAATCCTAAAAAAAAAAAATTCTCAGGAAATGAAGTCAGGATTTTTAACCAATGATTTTCCTCTCACTCCACCTGGCAGCATAATGTCCCTCTCGAAGCAGCTCATTTCATTAATACAAAACAGCTCAAATTCATTGTGGCTCGGAGCAAGTGGCAGGTGAGTTGGCCTTAATCTGTGTTGTTTCTTTTTAGTTATATTTATTTTTAATTACATTTGCATCTTTTAAAGTCTATCAAGCTAGGACAGTAAGCACAGCAGAGATCTCAGCTTGGCTATGAATGGGGAATAAGCCCAGGAGAGAGTGGTCGATGGATGTGGCAGAAATAAATTATCTAGGCTTTTACTGCCTGGAAATCATCTGGTCTAATGCAGGTGCCTGTAAGATGTATGGTTATGTCTAAATTACGTACCCTCAGCTGCCTTTGCAATTGGTACTGAATTATAGACAGGTCCCAAGACAATTCCTCTTTTTCTGAAGTTCTCTAAAATAATCAGATTGATTGCTTTCTGAAGATGCCTGTTTCCCTCTCTTGGCTGTAACGGGAGGCCAGCTGCTCAATGTCAACTGAGAAGTTCAACTGTCTCACATGGCAGAAGTTAGAGCAGATGAATCCTAACTCCTACAGTATGGTAGGTCTTCTGTTGGCCTGAGTCACTGTAGGTTGTACTGCAGTTGATGGATTTTAGGCCATTTACTCCAGCCAGGCTCTCATCTGATGTGTTCTGTTAAAAACTCCTTTTTCATCTGCTTTTGAGTGGTCAGATTGTCTTTGAAAATCTCAAGCAGGGTCCTGCTTCCCCGTTCACAACAGCAAGTATGTCCCCTGAAGTCAACATAGTTTCACCTCTGTGAATGAGAGAAGAGGAAGATTCAGAGAAGAAATGAGGCCTGGATTGACGATATGTAGAAAAGGGTGGCAGTGTCTTATTAAACTAGTATGTTTGGTATTTAAGAGTGCAGAAGTTCATTTTGGTATGCTTGCTTTACCATACTCCCACCGTGTTCTCCTCTGATTGTGCTGTATTTTGTTTTGCTTTTCAGCAGTCTCTGATGTGCTATAAATCCATACTGGTAATGCGGTCTATCCCAGAAATCCTAGAAAGGACTCATGACAACACCTCCCTGGCCATCTCCCGACATCTTATTGAAGAAAGCACTTCGTCCAGTACCAGCGGCTCCTCTTCAGACAATGAGAACTCGCATTTCCCCAAGAAGAGGCACTTTGGCTCTACACCCGAACTGCACTTGTCCATATTTGATGCACCAAGCCATCAGGAGACTCCAAAACATGCAAGTGAAGAGAAGCACTCCAAAATTTCCATCCCTCCAGTAAAACCCATGAGGAGGAAGTATGCTTCAATGAAAGCTGAGGTGGGGGACAAATCACCTACAGAAAGCAAAGAGCTCATGGCAAGTATTTTAAAGGAGAAAGAGGAGGGGCTCCATCCCAGAGTTCAAGATGAAAGAGCAGAGCAGTCCCAAAGAACCGGTGCTGCTGGGCCTTCATCAGTGAGGACTTCCACAGAAAGCACATCGCATCTGTGTCAGAAGGAAAAACCAGACATAGTTTTATCTGATAAGGACAAAATTGAAAAGGCTGGGGATGGGACAGAAAAGCCACCTGTCTGTGTTCCTAGACAGAGTGTCATTAAAAGCACTTTCTACAGCCAAGCAGCTGAGCTACCTGCAAGGGGACCTTCCTCACCAGGCAGGGAGTTCAGAAGGCACCTGGAGAGAGCCAGAAGGACTTTCCGGAAAGCTGGATATTCGAAGGTGCCCCTCAGTGGTCTCCGTGAACCCCTTCTAGAGCAGTTCGAACTGGAAGAAGAAGAAGGAAAGTCTGACGATGGAGATGATCACAGGGAAAGTCTGCTTGGTTCCTTGACCAAATCAGCTTCATTTGACACTGCAAGGAAACCACCACATCCTGCCATTGCTGGTGCTAGCCGAAGCCGTTCCCTGGATGACTACAGGCTAAGAGCCTCAAGATCAGTGAGGGAACAACATATTTTGGAAGAAGACTCTGATATATTGTCACAGGAAAGTTGCCCTGAAGGCAGTGACCACTGTGACATTTCTGCAGGGCCTGGCAAGGAATGTTCTGTAGACACTTCAAAGCAAGAGGACTTTAGGAGAGCCAGCAAGGATTGTTCAGAAGAGCAGCCCCCTCCTTCCACACAGTGTGAGGGTAATGGGTGCCAGGCTGGTTTTGTGCAACAGCTAGAGAGACTTCCAGTGTCACCTCACAGGAGTGAGAATAAGAAGCTGAAGAAGTCAAAAGCTACTTACATTGAGGGGGAAGTTGAAGACTTGGAAGGCAAAAGCCCCATTCTAACTGCCCAGTGCTCAGATGTAACTACACCACCAGTTCAAATACATGAAAGCATGGAGGGTAAAGCTTCCCCTGGCAGTGCCTCTGGCACTGCTTTTCAGGAGGACAAACAGTCCATTTCAACTCTCACACAGTCAGAGACCACCTCCAAGTCAGCCCCTACAAGTAAGGGAGGCATGTACCTGCCCCAGGAGTCCGCTCACAGTACCGACATCCATCCGGACCTAAAAGGTGGAAGCTTGCTTATCAAAAGGACAGCCCCAGTTCCACCTTGGGAAGAGAAAAGGCAGAAACATTCACATGAGAAGACTTCTGCCCATAGTGTGGCCAAATCTGATCTCATGGAGCATGAAAGTTCTGCTGTTTTAACAGGCCCACAAACAGAAAACGATTCACTTCCAGTATGTAAGGACAAAAGTCAGGAACTTCCTGGTCAAAGTGTTCCAGCAACTACTGTCTTGGTGGGCAAACGGCCAGGTACCCTAACTGCTCTGCACACAGCTGATGAAGGTGCTCATCAGAAGCAGAAGACTTATAAAGAGGTGAGATCTGCCCTCCTGGAGGATGAAGGACTGGGTATTACAGGAATCGCTCCATCATCAGCCCATGATGGTGAAAGCCAAGCGCACAAACGGGCTTCTGTTCACGTAGACACAGTATCAGCCGTTCTGAAGGGAGAGCATCTCGTTGTTCCAAAAGTCCCACCACCAAAATCAATGCCGACTTCAGTCTCCAATGGAGCACAGCAGGTTGAAAGGGAACGGCCAGCTCATAGCAAGGAGAGGCTTGCTGCTCTGAGGAGTGACAGCTCAGCTGTCGCAGAGGTTGTTCCCAGTTTGGCCCATGAGGCTGAAATCAAGGGAGCTGAACCCCAGAAGGTTTCCAAAGGTAGTGGCATGGTGCCTGCTGTTCTGGAGAGCAGACACCCAGCTAGAACTGTGTCCTCCCAAAATACTGGCCTCCCTTCGGTCTGTGAGAGTGAAAAGCAAGAACATCCAAAGGCATCACTTCGCAGTGAGGTGAGATCTGTTGTGACAGCAAGTGGAAGCCGAGCAGCTGGACAGACTATGCCTGCTCCTTTCCCTAAGGCTGGACATCAGGTGTTTGAGCAGCACAGGGCTGCCTATCCCAGTGGCAGAGTTTCTGCTGATCTGGAGGGTGGACCTCCAGGTGTCTTAACTGCTTCACAACCAAAAGTTGCTCCAGCTTCAGTCTATGAGCTAGAATATGAGGAACATCCAAAGGTTTATGGTGAGGGTAGAGGCATTGCCTTAGAAAGTGGAAGCTGTGATGCTGGAAAAACTGTCCCACCGTTGCTCCATAGGGATCAAAGTCAGGAGGTCTCACAGCACAGGTCTTCTTTTTACAGCGATGAGGAGTCTGCTGTGCTGGAGGGCTTAGTGGATGAGATGGTTTCCCTCTCTGAAGAGATGAATGTTTGGGCAGAGTCAGTTTCTGGTGAGGAGGAACACAGAAAGCACATCTCTCCTCCCACAGAGATGTTCTACAAAGGCCCAGGTAGCCAAGCACCCATGGACACCTCCCCTTCTGTACAAGAGGGTAAAAGAGGAGAAGTGTCTGAGCTGGATGACCTTGCAGAACCCTGTCTTGTTGTGAGCAAGGAGTCAGTGGTACTGGAAGGGCAGGGAGCAAAGACAGTTCCTCATGAATGTGAGCATCTGGAGGACTTAGCGTTTGAGACCCCCACTTCTAGCCAAGTGAGCGTTTCCTCAACAGATAGCTTGGACGCTGGAAAAAGACCCAGTCAAGTGTCAGTGAGCAAGGACACCAGTAAACACCCAGAAGTTTCTTTAGTGAAAATCAAAGACCTGTCAGATGAAATGCCCAGTCATGGCAGTGGAACTCCAAAACTTGACATATCAGAGGTAGAGCCTGCCTATTTGAATTTCTCTGACTTGTATGACATTGTCTATTTTCCATTTGAATTTATGAACTACAGGAAGCCTCCACCCAAACCAACTGGTAGACGGTTTATGCCTTTTGGTGAAAGGGCAAGATCACCTCCTGCAGGACATTTGCATAAGGATAAAAGACTGTGCCTCAGAGAAGAGGCAGAGGACAAGAACAGGAAGAACCATTTAGAAATATCTGAGGATTCAAAGGCAGCTAACTTATTAGCCATGGGGAAAGGGTCAGAGAGTCATAAAGAAATGTATGGCCCCCAAAAGGAGTCAAGTGGTAAGCAGAAAAGCTCCTTCTACAACAAGCCAGGACTCTTTAAGCCATATGCAAGGTCTCATTCAGTGGAGCAGTCAGTGGAGCAGAGTCTGAAGAAGAAAGTTAAAGCTTCTGTTGCCCATATTTCAAGAATCCTAAAAGGAAAGACATCTCCCGAGCCAGAGGCAGAGGAAGGTAAATATTTTACTCTGTGCCTTCATAGAGTTGCTGCTGTAACTGGGCTCTGCTAAATCTGCCTTTTCCTTTTCTCTCAGCATATCTGAGGCTGTGGTTAGACTGTCATTGCAAAACTGGCAGTGGCAGGTTATGAAATCAGCAGTCTTCAGCCCCACCACTCGCTCTCTGGTACTGGCTCACTTCAGTGCAGAGTCAGCTGGGTTAATCCGCTGATGGAAGTGGCTTAAATTCCCCTGTCTGAGTCTGCACAAAAGCAGGTCAGGGGTGGGTGATGTTTTCCTTGCTGCAGTTTCTTCTGCAGTTATCATCTGACCATGGTAAATCTTTAAAGCTAAAGTGTCTGGGAGAAGTTGGTGAAGTCACCCTGGCTACCTGAGTTGATGACACTGGACAACAGAATCTGTCCTTTCTTCTCTGCCATTCCTAGACATGCCCTGTTCTTCCAGGACATCACTCTGTAATAGCTGTCACAGCCTTCCCTGTTGACTGCAGGCTTGTTAATAAGGAAACCTGTGACTACTGAGCTATTTACATGTTAACAGCAGAACTGTCTGCTGGAAATGGATGCCACAGGGAGGAGGATGGCCTTGAATGACTTCTCATCCTTTCTCAAAACAGGGTTTGGTGAGCTGGGAAGTGAGGCAGTAGAAAAAGAGCTGCTAACAGGGGCTGAAGGATCCCTGAAGAGGAAATCAGCACTCTCTTCATTCAAGTTATCAAGCCTCATGCCAAAGGAGAAAGGTATTGCTATTGCATAAGTCATCAGTTAGTTTTATCAGGAAGTATCACTACTGAATATGACGGTGCTGTGTGAGGCCAGCTTCTAAGGATGGATGATTGTCTTGAGATGACCTGGACCAACTCATGCAGTACGAGCCAGCCTCCTCTGTTTGCATCATAACTATGTCCTTGCTAAAACTGTCTTGTCTTGGTATTGCTTGCAAATTGGAGCCACTCCAGGAAGCCACTGCAAAGGAATAAAATCTATGTGTAAGCTAGAAGGAGAATAAATGGAGTATCCAAGGGTGGGATGGCAGAAGCAGGGAACTGAATCCTTATGCTCTAGTCCTGCATGCATGTGTATGGGCCAGACACGCTGCTATAAAGCTATGAAATGAAAAATTGTGGGGCAGCCCCAAATGGTGTGTCAGCAAAGCTGAACTTGCTTTAGCCCAGGCAAGTTTCCCCTTGACTCTAGCAAGAGCATTTCCTGAGGTCCGGTTAATGCCCCAGCATTCAGCAGAGCCCAGCCAAGCACTGGGAAGGGCAGGTGTGTGAGGCTGGCAGCTCCTGGGCCCTGCGGAGAAAAAACCCTGGAGAAACACAGAAGAAAGCCTGAGCTCCCCCTTTCCCATGGAGACAGCAGCAGATTCGATGCTCTATGGTTTTTTCTCCTCCTTCCATCAACCATCTTTTATCTCTTCTCTGTTCATGTTGTCTTGATTTGATCCCCTCATCTTTGAAATACCATCATTTAGTTTTGCTCCCATGTTTAAGCTAGGCCAGAAGAAAACCCTTGCTGTGACAAGCCCTCTCTCTCCTCTGAGCTGTTCTGCTGCCTTAGCTGTACCAGCAAGGCTGGGCAATGCAGATGTTCCCCATGGACCTTCCAAGGTCCATCTGGGTTATCATGTACGAGCAGTCACACTGCATCCACGGGGCTGAACAGGGCTCCTGCACCTGTGCGCCCAATGCCCAGGGAATTCTCCAACGGGTGGTCAAAGAAATGCCAGAGCATGAACCAGAAATATTCTTGAACCAATTAAAAATGCTTTCAGATGTCCCGCGTGCACTTATTTTCCACATAGCCCTCCTGGCCACTCTGAATCGCTGCTTTGCCTCTTCTTTGCAGCACCTTCATTCACTGAGGAGCTCATCGATCAGGCTGCTGCTGTCGGACAGTGCGTGACGCTGTCGTGCCGGACGGCAGCTCTCTCCTCCCTGCGCATCAACTGGTTCAGAGGTGACACTGGCATCCCTCTAGGGAGTCCCTAACCTCTGGGACAGGGGCACAGGGTGGGGTTTTTTTCTGGTATAAATTTGCAGTGTATTTATTTCTCCTATCTTCTGCTTTTCAGATGGGATACCTGTCCGCAGCAGCAGCCGGATCCTCATCTCAGCCACGCTCAAAAACTTCCAGCTGTTAACTATTCTCTCTGTTAGTGCTGATGATTTCGGTATTTACACCTGTGTGGCCACAAACTCCCTGGGCTCAGCATCCACCTCTTGCATCATAAGAAAAGCAGGTAAGAGAAGAAGTAGCTACAGAATCAGGTATTACAAGTACTTCTGCCCAAAAAAGTGACCTGTAAATACCTGTGAGGTGAGATTTCTGCACATAGGCTCAGAGGACAATCTCTCCCTTGCCTGTTCTAGTCCACAGCCACAGCCCTCGCTGTCTGGTAGCGTGGCACATTTTGCAGGGTTCATTCCCTCTTCTTCACTGTTTAGTCTCTCTCTGGGATTCAGAGCCACTCCAAGTAACCATGTGGTTCTAGAACCAGCCTGCAAAATCTTAATACTGAGTTTAAATTAGGCACAGTTAAACTGCTGTTCCATTGGGGGTGTGTGTGTGTGTATATATTCATATAAAAACATATACATTTTTATATATATATAAAAAAAGAATAACCGTAACTGAGAAATGCTGGATGTAGAGATATGTATCACAGCAGTGCTATTGCTAACAGTCACTGGTTTTTGTGCCTTCTCTTGACAGAGGTTCCTCCCAGCCCTCCACCTCCTGACATCGTGGAGGTCTACGAGGATGGAGTGCAAGTGGTCTGGAAACCTGTGGAAACCAACACCCCCGTCCATTACACTGTCCAGTGTAAGACTGAAGGTAAAGTGGAGTGCTGCCCTTATGCCTTGCAAGGAACATCTCGATTCATATGTTCTCTTCACCAGCTGGATGTTTTATTTTTATTCAGAAACAGCCTGATTTTAGCTCCCTAGTTCAGAGTTAGACATCTAAAAGTTAGATGTTGTGCTGGCTAAATCAGCCTGGAATATGCACACTCATACAAAGGCTTTGCTAAAGTGTGAATCAAACCAGGTCGCATGGAAGCTGTGACCAAAAAGTCACCAGCTACAAGAAGAATATGCATGGCTGGTGCCAGATACGCAGTCCTGAGAAATCCTCTCAAGTTACAGTTCTGACAATATTATACACCAATAATGCCCAGCAACAATGATCAGCAGACAATATCATCCTATTCCCAGGCTTTCTGTACAGTCTGTGGAGAAAGACGGCCTATCAAAAAGGCAATTCATCCCATGCTAAACAGCCATGCTTTTTTTTTCCATTGATTACGCAGAAAGCTTAGGGCAAACAGCCAGGACAAGATGATGAAAGTTTGGTGAAACTGCACCATCCCTTTGATGTTCTCTTCCAAGGCTTGGTCCAGAGCCTGATGAAGTCAGTGGATGTTTTCTTGTTTAATTCCACAAACTTTGAATCAAATCCCCAAGCCTGTTCCATCTCTCTTGGGCCTGCTTTTGCTGTTATTATTGAGCACTGGGCAGTAGCTTTCTGCCTTTTCACTCTGGAGCTGGTGTCAGCTACTTTTCCTCCAATGCAGCTTGCTTTATTATTCATTTTGACACAACTGTAGGCAAGACTTTGGGGGAGGATACAAATGCAAGTTGTTCCGATTAGGAAGAAAAACAGGAAGCAGCATCTACAATCTTCCATTGCATTCTGTGTATTTGGCAGGAGTGTGCAAAGTCCTGCTTTCCTGAACACAGGAGGATTAAGATAATCAGGGAAAAAAAAAAATCCTTGTTTTATCCATTATTTGACAGTAGGCTTTTGCACGCTGCTTCTGCAGACACTTTTCTCTGTTTCTAAGCTGTATCTGCTCCTTCTTACACATACACGCACCCTAATTCACCCAGTACCCCACAAAGTCATTGATACCTTTGTTTTGGGTGGCAAATTATTGCTCTTCTTGTGGTTTGAGGCTCTCTACCAGTGTTTATTTGAATGAAAGGATGGGTTTAATCTCAGGCAGTCTCGGGGAGTTGAGTTCAGCCTTGAGCACAGCAGCAATGGCAAATTATGGGACACAGCATCATGTGAAATGAATGATCATTAAGTGTTTGCTGGTGATTTGCTACTTCACAACTTAGTCCCATGAATAATGAGTCCAGAACATACCTACAGTTTCAGTTCCCTAAAAAAATCTGAGTTTCATAAAAGCTGAGTAAACCTGCCCACGTTTCAAACACTGGGTTTGCTAGGAGGGTGTTAGTGGATAATTTTGTCCTGAAATCCTGCACCTCATGTTTTCAGTTGGATTCAAGACAGGTCAAAGGGAAAAAAACCCAGTAATTTTGCTAGGCTTTTATTTGGAGTTCTTGGTGTATATTTGCATTAGAGTTTGGTGGCATTAATTAGATAAACAGAAACTATACAGGAACATTTCACCATTCCTCTGAAACAATATTGCCACATCTTGGAATGATTAGAGGTAAACCAGCTGATTTCAGAAAAGATGAGTTGGGCACAGGTACAGTGAGTGGCAACACGCACAGAAGTTGGCCATAGCAAGTCAGTTTTTCCTTCACTCTAAGAGATTCCACTGTTTCTCCATATTCCCAGCACATAAGTAAAGTTGATGAAAAAAAAAAGCCCAAGAAAACCCCCCAAATCAAAAAAGCCCCCCATCTTAAATGAGCCCTAATCTCTTTTCTGTCTTTCCTTGGTTAAGACGGGGAGTGGATGACTCTTGCTTCTGACATCGCTGACTGCTGCTACTATGCCAAAAATCTCTCCAAGGGGTTTATCTACTGCTTCAGGTTAGCCTGCACCAGTA